TGACTGGAGATTGCTTATAGCTTAATATAGGTATCTTATTGATTCTTGGCTTTTTGTTTAAAGTTAGTGTTTTTACTTTTTAATAGCTATATCACCTTTTATTTGATTGCAATGTTTATATATGAGGCTTTTTTTGTTATGTTCACCAAATAAAATAAAATTGTAATTAAATTAGTTACATTTCTCTTTAGAGTATGGTAGGTGACTACAAAATATTGTGATAACTCAAGTGTTTATTGAATGTTATTTATATGTTAATCTTATTGAAACAACATACATAATAAATTAGCTAAATGGCTATTTCTAAGCACATTAATGATATGTTTTAAATAAAAACAGTATTATCCTTATTGGTGATAGTAAATATTAATCAAAAAAAAATGTTTTTCACAAAATTCACAAATGGCAACCTTCAGAAGATGTCTATGGTATGAAACCAAGAGTATTAATTTGAAAATTACTTTAAAAAAACAAAACTGTGTGAATAAAAATAGGAAGATTAATACCATGTTAGAAAAAAGCAGTGATTTCAAAAAGTTATGAAGGTAACCCCATCATCATCATGCACCAGTGCAATACATGTGAAATTGAATTGTCCTCAAGGCTGGTAGCATGCAAGTCTCTCAGGCATGCAATTGAGGAAGATAGCTAAACTATGTGTGGAGGTATCTATTGCAAATAAACTTTAAGGTAATGAAAATGTTAACTTTCATGTGGCTAATGGACATTTAGAAGAGTTTGTGAAGAAATTTTGTCCAGTAACTAAATCAATGCCAATGTATGCTACTTTGCAAGAAAAGTACTTGACTGAACACTTTCAGAAACTTAAGACAGAAATCAAAGAGTAAATAAAAGATAAAAAAGTATGTCTAGTTGTTGATCAGCTCTCAGATGTACTTAGAAAGTCCACAGTCAATACACTGATTTCATATTACACCACTGTAAAAAGGAGCCATTGCATTAGTAGATGTTTTAGATGTTGTCTCAGTGCCAGTGTTGCTTTAGTGTTTGCAAAATCGTTACAGCAATATGAGAAGAAGTGGTCTGATATTACTGCCATTGTATCTGATTCTGCACAGTACGAGCTAAAGATTGTGAATGACATGTGTTGGTGAAGGTGTTAGTAAACTCTTGAATGTCAAAGATATGGCTTTGGTGATCATATGTCCTGGTTTATCTGGAAAAATCCCAGTTTGGACCTCTATGTCTGGATCTCTTAAACGGTTCTTTTGGGACATAACAAATGTCTTGGTTTTAACTTACTTTTTTTTTCCTTAGATAACTCCGTATTTGCCTAAAAGTTTAATTCTTAAAGAAAACTATTAAATTACTTTTGGCTATTATTCTAGTAACAAAAGGCACAAAATATAAAATGTAAAATGCAGTTTTCAGTTGTTGTGAACAATATAAATGACACCTTGCTGGACATTGTCAGTCACATGACCATTTTCATTGAATATTAGCCTATTAGGCCTAGACTATACAGTGAAGAGTGTATTAACACTTATAAATGAAAATGTAATGAAACTCCCAACTGTTGTTCCTTCTAGATGTTCCTTCTTTGAGAGTCTGCATGTCATTATACACATGTAAGCTGGCTTAATGGCTCTCTTAAAGAGGGAGGATGCCTTGAACAAAGAGATGTATGACATAAAAGAAATCATTCCCACTTACAAACAGCAACAAAGAGTCTCTGGCAAGCTTGTGTTTCTGAAAGAAAAGCTTGAATCATTTTTGACAGTGCAGATAGAGTTGGAGAGAGATAGTGCTATGTTAGACAAAAAATGCATTACATTACAGAAGTCATGCTTTCCATTTACTTGAAACAGAGCACAAGAGGTTGTACCAACAGAAAAGTGTAGTGTAATTTTAGGAATGCTGCTCATGTGAGGAAATACTTTAACCCTCTTGCCAGGGGAAGGTCAAAGTGTGTGTGTCAGAACTTTTTAGAGAATTACATTATTCAAAATTTAATTAAACTACTTTATTTTCATGGTATATGGATAAACTTGGTATCAACACATAATTAATAAGTTAAATTCTAATATAGTGTAAGTTTTAAGTTCTTAATTTTATATGAAAATATTTTTAAAAATTCTCAATTTTGTCTAGTATGAAAATTGTTACTTTGCTCTTTAGGTCTTCCCTCTTCTTTTATTTGATTACCACCCCCCCTCTGAGAAGTGCAGAATTTAACTTAAATACTCATTATAATATAGTTATTACTGAGGCAAAGCATCCTTTTTATAGACTTCAATCTTATTTGTTTGTTTTTAAATTATGCACAAAGCTACACAAGGGCTATCTGTGCTCTGCCCACCACGAGTATCGAAACCCGGATTCTAGCGTTGTAAGTCCGCAGACATACCGCTGTGCCACTGGGGGGCATCTTATTTGTTAATGGAGCCACAAACTAGAAAATCAGCATACTTGACATGCCCAGCTGTCACATTTGCTCTTTCACAAATTGCCGATAGTTCTTGGTGATGTTTTATATTATATTATTTATGACCAATAGAAAGCCAAAGTTTTAATTTTCCAAATTATGTATTATATTACATTATTTTTGATGAGCTTAGCTGAATGTTTAACAGGTTTTATTGATTGCATAGTTAGAAATCCAGAAAAATTATGATAGTTATAGGACGTGTTATTATTCTGTGTTATTAGGTGAATTATGTAATTGAATAAATTATTTAGTGTAGTAGTACCGCTAGTATAAAACAGAGTTAATTTTCACCAACAGTCGACAGTAAAAAAAAAAGAAGACCCAGATAAGCACTATATTTCTTGTCTTTCATGTGTAATCTTTATTATTATAAAAGTAAAATGTAAAAACTAGGAGCTTATTAGGTTAGATTAGGTAAGATAAAGTAAAATAATAATAAAAATGCTTCACAAGGTATGCTCATGAGTAACTTGTGCATTATGTAATTTGATAGGGTAACATGAACTATGCATTTGCTGAATGATTTACTGGGTTCTTATTAATCCAAACTCCTGGGTCCTGTATGGAGGAGAATTTGTCAGGACACATGAGATTCCACCCCTACCCCCGGTACCAAATACACACTGCAAAATGTGCTTAGTTTGCTTCGAAGCACATAGTTTGCACACAACTGTCCACAACCAACTTCAAACAGGTTTAATCAGTGACAATAAATTGCACAAAAATAAAGACACGTGACAGTACCACATGATTAACATTTTCACCTTGGGGAGGTGAAAGTGCACGTCACAACCTTTCACAGAATTACATTCAAAGTGTAATTAAACTACTTTATTATTAATGTATATGAATATACTCAGCATCAGAACATAGATCATAAATCAAAGTTTAGTATTATTTAAGTTCTTAATAGTATAAGGAAATATTTTTAAAAAAACTCTCAATCTCCCTTAGTATGAGAACTGTGATGTTTATTATCTGTCTTCCCTGTTATCTAATTTTTTTACCACCCCTCACAGTTAGAAAATCAGAAAAATGTGACAGTTATGGAACTATTTTTTCCTTTTTGTATGTTATTAATCTGTTTTTTTTTGTTTTTTTTTTGGTGCATTATTTAATTAAATAGAAATTATTTAATGCAGTAGTACATTTAGTATAAAAAAGTAGTTAAGTTTCATTGAGTTTCGTACCAGATATCAATTATTATTATTACTGTTGCCTAGATACCTATTTTAAAACAGTGTTCCTCAATTTAACAAATTTTTTATTGCTCAGTTTATTGTTTGTTTGATGAAGGCTCTGGTAAGAGGGCTAAAAGCTTGCAAATAAAAGTATTTTAACGTAGAGAAAATTCCAATTATAATTCTACATCTATAATTAATTTACTTACATTATGAGTCTTAAACAACAACCTCATATTGAGGAAAAATATAACAGATAAAATATAAAGTTTTTCTGAAAAAAACTTTGATATTTATTTTGGAGGATTTAGGGATTAAACAAATAATATTTGAAAATTTTCAGATTTAGAAAATTATTTTTAACCTTATCATGAAAATTACTTTGCACTCATAAAGGGAAACAACATGCAGCATGAATTGTAAATAAAGTTTTTCATTGAATATTAACATGCTTTTTTTCACTTGCAGAAGGTAAACATGTAGTGCACACTGTAAATAAAGTTCTTCATTGTCACTGAAGTGATTTTTGTCCATTATTTTCAAGTTTATGAAATTCTACCTATGGGATTTTTGAAAATCTCACTGGGTTCTTGAAAAAAGTTGAGAGTTGGGGACCCTTCTCTGTGGGATCCTAGTGAGAACCCTGATTTACAACTTGTGTGACAAGATTATTAGTTAGACACTAGTCAAAGAGCAATAAAACAATAAAATTTAGGAAGAAATAGGTGTATGCTGTTATGAGCTTTAAACTATTTAGGATTAACAATTGTAGTTTCCTGTTACAATTTGAAGCCATTCTGGTAAGGAAAAAAAAAGTGTAATATAGATTTATTTTATATTTTTTATGCTGATTACAAGGTTGATTAAATTGATCGACCCTTTATAGAGTTTGGGTAGAGAAAATGAAAGATAAAATATAAATTTTTACTTAAAGAAAAACATTTCAAATTTATTAAGAAGTTTTTAGAATTTATGCAAATTATATTTGAGACTTTTTAATGTTAACATGAAAATCACTTTGCATTTGGAGGAGTCGCAACTTTCACTCCATGTATTTGCAGAGAAATTTTTGTAAATTACTTCATTAAAAATTCTGATTTTGTGTTTTTTTTAAAAATGAGAGATTAGTCAGCTGTACTTTGTTTCTATTGAAGCTTTTTTTTATGAATCAAACTATTTCAATCCAAAAATTTTTCTTTCTTGATTATATATAAAAGAATTCACCCAATTTTGCTCCCTTTTTTTGAAAAAAAAATTCTACACAATTTTTAAAAATTATTGATTCAAATTTAGAAAAAAATTTCACTCCAAAACTATAACCCTTATGTATATCACAAATCTTAAAAAAATCTTATTGGTCTTCTCTATAGAAGGAATTCCAAAAGTTTTCTACTTTGGTCCTTGTGGGAAATACAATGCTCTGGTGATGGAACTTTTAGGACCAAGTCTTGAAGATCTTTTTGATCTGTGCGATCGGAAGTTTAGTTTAAAAACTGTTTTAATGATTGCAGTTCAACTGGTAAGTAAATTCAAAATGTATATACATGTAGATAGAACATTTTACTTTTTATTATTATAATTTAAACACACACACACAAAAACTTTTTTTCTTGTGAAATCTAATTATTTTTAAATTCATTGAGATTTGCTAGATAGTTTAAATTTTATCTGAAGCTCCTTTTATTAGGTTTTCAAGATTTTAAACATACGAAGGTAATAAAGATAATTCTGTAAGTATTAAACATAATTAACTATATAATTATTTTATAAAGTTATACACCTGTTACATGTGAAATTGTATAAAAGAAAGTTGGTTATTTCAAAATTTTGTTTGGAAGTATATAGATAATCAATGAAATTAATCATAACTTATCATTTTACATGTATCGTATAATAAACCATATTTTTTTACTTGATTATCAAAACTATATACTGTTTTTCACTTGTTAAAAACTATACCTAGAGCAGTAAAACAGGAAGAACAGTGTTTTTAGATGTACCATTGTTGATAAAGGATTTGATATAATGAAGAATTTAGAAAATAAGTATTCAATAAAAAAATCAAGTTATGTCTTGAACCTTATCTAGATTGTTAAATCCAAGAATTCAATAACTTAGTTTTATTACAAGGCATACTTGTAGCCTTTAAGATATATTCAGAAAAAATAACAAAGTTCTTGTACATTTACATAGTTGCCATTTGAAAACAAAGAAACAAACAAAAAAAAAGAAATAATGGTGATGTCACATGAATATTAGAGAGTGGAATGCTGAAATGTTATTTTTGGTTTAATTGAATGATTCACTTTTAGTTATGTATAATGAATTAATAGAGACTGACAAGAAATGAAACCTAAACATAGAGTGCACTTGAAAACTTTACCTAAGATGAAGATAGCTTAAAGAGTGAACAAATTATTGATGTCTTCAGACACCAAACATTATTTATACTATTTGTATTCTAAGAGAAACTTGTAATATAAATAAATGAAAATTAATCATCATTTCAGTTGTCAGTTAAGTTAAAGTTCAAAGAGAATGTTAAGTATTTTACTGTTTAAAGATAGTCTACTCAATGGTATTGTGATTCAGTTAATGTTGTTGGAAGTAACAATTTATTTCAAAAATTGTATTTCACTTAATTCCCCATGATGTTGATTTTGAATTGGAAGGTCTTAATGGTCAGAGCTTCATTAAATCTCAGTGTTCTTTCATCTGTTGCCTTGAACAGAATATTGAAGTGCTCAAATTTTACATCATGGTCATATTCCATGGTATGTTGTACATGATATTCTACAATCCTTTCTGGAAGTATCTGGTAGTGGACTCAATCTAGTCTTTCAAACAGAGAGGGCTTTTACATCATGGTCATATTCCATGGTATGTTGTACATGATATTGTACAATCCTTTGCTGGAAGTATCTACTAGTGGACTCAATCTAGTCTTTCAAGCAGAGAGGACTTTTACATCATGGTCATATTCCATGGTATGTTGTACATGATATTGTACAATCCTTTGCTGGAAGTATCTACTAGTGGACTCAATCTAGTCTTTCAAGCAGAGAGGACTTTTACATCATGGTCATATTCCATATTACGTTGTACATGATATTCTACAATCCTTTTCTGGAAGTATCTGGTAGTGTACTCAATCATGTTAAACCTCAATAACACAAATTTACTATCTACACAAAAGAAATATGATATTTATCAAACATTTATCAATTGCTTGATATAAGTATT